TGACAAGACAGTGTACACAACGCTGGGAAGAACACTGGGATCTTTCAGTAAAATGGGTCCGGCATTTGTTGAAATCTTTCGTTATTTTGGTTGGAATAGAACGGTAGGTATACGACGATTAAAAGACGGAGGTCGTCGTGTCACGCATGTGCAAAATTCCGGTGTGACGACAAAATATGAGAGAACCCACATTGGGTGGCCCACTGTGATGTGTATGGGTATTCGTTGAGTTTATTGTCTATATCAAGGGAATACAATTAATATGATTATCAAACATGCCTAGACAACATCGAGGATGTTTTTTGAAGCGATTTTCAAACACTCATCACTCGCATTCGATCCGTAATTTCGTTTACTGATCGAGTCAATAAAAAACGCAATGTGGAGCGGGGGGATTCTTATTCATAACGCACTTTTGGTTCAATCTAATGTGTACCGAATCCTAATAATTATTTGGTGGATTTGGATCTGTGAGTGATGCATTTCGAATTAGCATATATTCCCCGAATCATGTAATTACAATTGAAATGCAATGGTAAACCTTTGCTGATAAAACTGTAACAGTAAAGGTGATAAGTTAACTGATATGGAGTTTTAGATTCACCTTACTTACGTTACGACTATTTTTAAACTTAAGTTTTTGTTGTTAGGATTAAAACTATATCTCTTATATTTAGGTTATCCTGTCATCCGAGGATGCTGTGTGTTCGTATTCATCAGATGCAGTCAATGATGCCCTGAGCGAGAACGGAATCAAAGTGGATGACTATGATACGCTTCATCTGAATATTACCGACAATGAGATGATACGAATTTGGGAAAAAACTAAACTTCATGGCAGAAGTAAGTACTTATGACGGGTTAACCAATAGAAGTTTATCAGACTGTTGGTCGTACAACGCCTGCCATTCTCTTGACCACATAAACTCGTCAAAGTTCAAACACAACCTTCGTGGTTATGCGTTTATGTAATTGTATATTTTATTGAATTGTTCTGTCTTTGTTTTTTGCACAACAAACAGTTATCATATTCTGTGCTTTTGCCACATTGGAGCGTCATCTCTTACTATTGGCACATGATATCGGCATGTCAAATGGGAGTATGTGTTTCTAAATGTTAAATTACTAGACGCGGATGAAGACATCCAACCCTGGTTTGCTGAGGATGATAGGGACGAAGAAGCAAGACACATATATGGGTCAGTGTTTCAGGCAAGTATAACACAATAATCTGATTGACAAAACAATTGAACAATATTGTTTCGAAAATTACAAACCAAAAACGTTAGTACCATAATACATTCGGCGAACCCAAATCATTTTCCTTGACATATTCAATTGTTTAATTGCGTCACATTGATCATGAGCTGGCACATTGAATGATAAATAGTTAGGTGCCATCTCTAAGATAACGACAGGCATTGATTCTCCACTTCGCTCCAGGATGGCAATAGCGGGGTTTCAATACATTTAGACAATTACGAATCACTGGCACTGGCACTGTATTCTGTCAATTTGTTCATTCAAGATAAGGGTTATCGACGACGTCGACGATTTACTGGTAAGATTGAAAAAATTGTACATTTAGCAGTCGAAAACAAAAACATACTTGGTATGGTAATTGAGTTCGAGGAAGCAACTAAAAGAGAAAAACTTAAGTCGTCAAAACATAGTAAAAAACTCATCCGCTGAGTGTATAGGCTGATGAATACGCGTGGACGATTATTCATCGCTAGAGCGGCAAGATATCGACTGATAAGGACCTAATTCGTTCGCTCGCATTAAACAAAATATTCGGGGAATTTCTAGACGTATAAAACTCCTTACAGAAATATGTTGAAACAATAAAAAGTTATTATTCGTGAACACCAGACGATTAATAATCTTATCACGCGATCACGATTATCACGTTTATCGTGTTTATCAGCAAACATGGTCATTATGATGCATCAATTGCCGCCAGAATTCCAGCTTGAGAGTGAATTAACACTACGGATTTTCTTGGGGATTTATAATAAAGTTAGTTTGACATTTATTTGAGAACCAACAAATTTTTGTGGAAGTGAATTTATTACCAGGGAAATGTTAAACTGTTAACTACAGGTGCTAAGGCAAAAATGAAAGGTGGGAAACTCAGTATGATTATAGACTTTTAATGAACTTTTCAGTTTATTTACTGGTAAAGTCGAAAGATTTTTCAGTATTTTGAGTATACAATAAGAAGCTGGTGCATATTGCATAAATGGAGAGTACTTTAATTCAGGTTGAATATCAGCACTTGCTTAAATAACAGAGGTAGTCAAATTTCTGTAAATCGGATTCGAAAACTAAAACATGGTATAAAATAACAATATCAAATACCATATCACAGCGTGGACAATCGCAGTCATTGAAAAATACACAGTTCCCGTTCAAAATGTTCAAATTAATCTTCATGTACCAGACATTGTCTTGAAATATTCAAGAAATATATTTACGAGATAAAATACCAAAACAGTGTACATACAGAGTATGATAAATATCATGAAAAAAAAAAACTGGTTAACAGTGCACTGATCGAGTACAAGTACTTTCGAAACATTTTTCAATGCAGTGTCCAATGTCTGAAATGCAGTGAAAAGGTCAAAGTCAACTGTAGCTATTTAAATCAGCAAGCAGCCTGTAAATACAAACTGGAATGACCTGTTAAGATAAATTTTAAGTACAATACTAGTATGTTCCATATCTAGTCTGTTACCAATAGTCATACTGTTCCAATTAGCAGCATCTATAATAATTAACTATACCAAGGTTACAAGACTGTTTATCATGCATGTACTGGCTCCAGAGGTTGATAGTGAGTGACACCCACAGAAGTGCAACAAAAAGATGTACTATGTCGACATTGATACGAACAATCATCCACGTTTTTTCCCAAAACAAACGTATTGCAATCATAGCTCACAGATATATTAGTTTTCGTCGTATTTGAAATGCAGCAAGGAATAGTATGTATAACATCTGGGTGTTGCGACTTAGACACTGTCATTAACATTTTTTTACAGGGTATATAATAAAACCAAATGAAGATGCGCCACGACAGGTGAATGCGGAAAATGTCAGCTCGTGATAAGTAAACCCTGACTAGATGAAATCCAAAAACTGCACTGGTACATGTACCTATGCTTGTGTACTGCGATATGTATAACGCACAATCATATTATGCTAATATCATTAAAAAAAGAAACTAAAATAACATGAATCCTTCTTGGTGATTCATTATTTGTGCCTGAAATTGTCTTCAGGAATTTTCGTTGTATTACTTCTCAGATTTCCCAGACAAAGAGCGACAAAGAAGAGACGTATGCGTTTATGAAGGAAGTTTTGAATAAGTCTGCCGGTAATCCAGAGAATATTACTGTTGACGCTGGTGTTGAAATATCGGTAAGAAATTATAGTACTGCTTCAGTTCTGTTGACAGACGTTAGACACCTACCAAAGCCGTCAGGTGGCTGCGAAATGTTGAAGAATAGCTATTACGGTAATGTAGATCAATTGTATGAATAATGTTACAATCTGAGGTCACTCAGACAGTACGCCGCGCTGTACTGGCTTCGTGCATACTTTGAGGTATCCTCTCAATAACCTCATAATACAGTGCAGTTATCAAAGCCGTATAAATGTATTCTCAATTTCTTTGTCTCAAAATATACTTTTGTACCTGTGGGTCAAGTTTCTGTCATGTTCACAATAAGTTACGTCAAAGTTTATAATTCATTATCTGCAGAGTGGAATTCATTTTAACAAAAGTAGTTACATATGAACACATAAGCGGTACACGAATTACAACTACAAACGACTACGCCATAATTGAAAACCGTGTACACTAACAATGAAGTCGTCGTATTCGTTGACTTTCTACAGGCTAGTCCATACAGTCCGTTCCTACATGATGCGATGATTCTGTATGCAATGGCTGCAAATAAAACCCTCGAGATGGGAGGAGATATCCGAGATGGAGAATTGATGTTTGACAACATGAAGGGTACTGTATTCAGCGGTAGGTTAACGACTCGTTAGTCGTCTACCATTTATCCGTCGTCTTTAGTGTTACCTGTCTTTGTCATACTGATTACAATACACGTAGGCATATTTCCTGTTCTTATGAATAACCATTACATATGTTAAAGTTCGATTAGACATGTCCCACAAATATACTTATTTTGGCAATACATAGCTAGTGTACATTATCCTGTGAGGGAATCATTTTTAAGCTCAGAAATTGTGATGGTGTAAGTTCATTCGACTCATTTATGTCTGTCTCAATATTTCGGGTCATTTATAATCAGATTAAATAGTGTAGCTAGAAGAGTCACATTTCTTCATTTGGTGTAGTTAGGCGAGTCAATTGCGACGAGTGACCATGGGCGCGTGGTTTGTGTTCAGTTTATATATAATTATACCAACCATTTGTGTACAGTGATTGTAAACAGGCAGAGTATCTAATTTGATCATCTTTGTTGTAGGGATGTCCGGTACCGTGATGATGGATGACAATGTTGAACGGGAGCCAAACTATTGGGTGAAAGATTTGAGATCCGACGGTTATTTTGTAACCATCATGGAAGTTAGTGTAAATGCAGCAGGACAACGGGTAAGGGACAATAGCCAAGTTGTCATGCAAGTTGTATCCAAAAAATGTCGTTCAATTATGTTGCACTGGCTTGCAATTATTTTCAACAATGTAGACCATTACTTCCGGAGATGGAATGACAAAACTAACGGTTTCCATTTTGCATTCTAACCAACGTTCCAAACCGTCTCATTAACTCAGAATTGTCGAATTCATAAACTCCGAGCAGAAATGCAACTAGTTAAATGTTTATTTTATTCTCGCAGAGCATGAATGTATTCGATGCTCCTATATGGGAAAACGAACAAATAGATACACCACCAGACACTCCATTATGCGGTTTTGTTAATGAGTTATGTCCGCTAGATGAGACAGGTAGGATATTACTTATGTTATTCAACATATTACTCGTATTAGTTTATCTGCAATGTAAATGAGTGTAGGTAACAGCTTTTGTGCATCAGTAAAAGTACTTTATTTATTTGAGATTACTATACTCTATAATGCTGAATGACTATACCAACAAATAGTTGTCTATACGAACATTTCCTACCTTCCAATCACAATCGTAGCACACTTTAATTATCCTGTCCAACATATCTCTGTGTGCCAGTTCACATGCGTAGGTAGTAGGGCGTCTTACATGAAATTCAACAAAGACATTTCAAGAGAAAAGCATTATCTACCAATGTAAACACACGCGATTACGGTATCATGATGTCACTTGACTCTTTAATGTTATGTTTTTTGAATTTTAATATTTTATGTTACAGAGACGAAACTGATAATATTCATCATTGTAGTCATTGTAATGTTTCTGGTATGTCTGTTACTTGTGCTATCTCTTTATTACCGGTAAGTTATGTGAATCCAACAAGATCGCATTGCTATCATAAAGACCATCATTTATTATACTTATAGATGCCACAAATGTTTGTAACCACGTACTATATTGGATCACGCTCAGTATGACACAAAATGACGTCACGTGGTTATATGTCTGTAATTCTGAATACACATGTTTCGAAAGTATCCTAAACATATATCTTATAAAAATGCAAGTGTAATGACTTATGTGCACAGAAGAATTTATACTATCGTATTTGCTATTTCATTTTATGATTCAGACGTAGAAAGCTAGAGGAAGAGCTTGCAAATACACTGTGGAAAGTTCGGTATGAGGAAATTGTATTCAACAGCATCAGAAGTTTCGACAGTGGGGTATGTTGTCTTAGCGTAGACTACGACCACTATGCGTGTCGTAGATTTCAGGTATTGAACATGTGTGCAGGTTCAAATATATCAAATATATCATGTTTCACCGAGTCTTATTCGATTCATTGCTTATTCATGCAACTTTAGTATTGCCAGATATTTATTTATTCATGTGTTTCAGGCTATGCTATGTATGTTATTGCAGATAAGTGAACTTAGCTCACGTACTTTACCAAACGGACACGGCATAGCAGCCGAACAGATTTTTACACAAACTGGACTTTATAGAAATGAACAGGTAGCCATAAAACGACTGAACAGAGAACGTATTGTTATCGATCGGGAAGCCTTGCGGGAAATGAAAGATGTAAGTTTATGATCATGGTAACAGTAAATGCCACACTGTTTCACTGTCGTTGTTCCACTTTTCTTTGTTTTTTTGTGTACATTGCAGTTGTCCACTATAGTGTATTTCGGTTGCCAGGCATGGTGTTGTGCTAGTCATACTCCGGCGCTCCCACTGTACGTTACAGTTGCCTTATTTTGGCTGCCCATTGTGAATTGCTGTCCTCATCATGTTGCTATGATTCTTCCATTGTGTTGTACAGTTTTGGTTCTTCCCCTGTGTTGTTGTGGTTTTATCATTGTATTGTTTCGTTTTTACCACCGTGTTATTGTGATTGACCCACTCTGTGTTGCTAAACCAGCAATGCAACGTTTTTTACAATTCGGAAATGTTAAGGAATTAAAATCACATTGTTGTTTATCAAATATGACATACAATATTCTACAGTATATGCGTTGCTGGGTGACACTGAACATCACCATCAATCATTTATGGCTGGCCGCATATCTTTTAATGTTACACATTTTTGCGGAGTCACAAGTACGTTATTCCAGAGAATATGACGTAAACTAACAATATACTAATTTGTGCAATGATAATAGCATCATAACACCACCACACAGTTTGCATATTGTCAGTTAAATCATTGTTTTTTTTTCTCTAGTTGCGTGACATGCATAATTCGAATGTGAATCCATTCATTGGAATCTGCCCAGATGCGCCTAATATATGTATATTAACACGGTATTGTTCAAAAGGAAGCCTCCAGGTTAGTGTTTACACAGAACGCCTTTCTATAAAAATTAATAACTCAGATAAAATAAATGTATACTATAATACATTGTAAATCATCATGAAAACTCATTGTTTTAATTAAAAGCACGCAGTTTAAATTGAGAAAACATGTATTATTTTATAAAACATCTGTATTTTTATCAAAACATTAGTGTTTGGAAATGTTTTTGGTGAACATTAAGCACATTGTAAACACACAAAAATATACATTTTCAAAATAAAACACTGGGTTTTTACGGGGATACAAATGCGTCCTATAAAAAATCCAGAAAATAGAAACGCAAGATGGTCGCACACAAAAAATGTGTAATTTAATTCGGCTTTTTGTAAAATATAAACCAGGGGCAAAATATTTGGTACAATCGCATGAACGCAGACCGTAATCGGTCAAAATTGAACTAGTGGTCGAATCATACACTATGAAAATAATAAAGCTCTATCTGAGAGATATGCTGCACAACATCGTTGACCAATATATAAATAGTCACGACAACTACAGTGAAATGTCAAGCTATAAAACCAATCCAAGATATGAACCTGACAATCTACTTATTACGGGCGCAGCAACAGATCATAAATTACGTAGAAAATTACATAGCTGTCGACAGAGTACATGAAGTACGCGGTCAATATCTAGTTACTTGCGTGAATAAGAAAAATAATAACTGCGAACGACACGTGGTTACTTGTATGTACACGCTCATTCAACGATCAGAATATACTGTCAGTAGTATGTGAACAGGTTACATGTTCGTTAAAGAAGCAACAATTTGGATCGATTGCTTTTCAGATTTACCGAGAAAGAAGGGAGTTATTCTAAATATGGGTATGGTGGAATTGTTACTCCATTATGAAACGTCTTGAAAATGTTGTTGATGGCCAACAATGTATATACTAGTAATGCTTCAATTGCATTGTTTTGGTGATCGATGAGGCTTTTATCTTGAAAGACTGCGTAATCTATTCCGCTTGGGTCGCCTGTTAAAACAATTCGCTCTACTGTAGGTTGATACAAGATCGGCTGTCGTTAAAGGCGCCTATTCAAATACACACTGTAGTGGTTCAATATGCCAAGGGTTAGTTTTGAGGGTGACCCGAAACAAACGTTCCCTGGCTGGCGAAGATGACTTCACCTTTAAAATGTATGTTTGCCTGAAACCCGTTTAAACAATAAGTGTAGAACGTTAACGTACCCGCTTCTTCGGTGTCCGCAATTGGCCACGGTGTCATCATTAAATAACATTCCGCCTATGTCTTAGATGATGCACCTCCAATTATCAAACTGTCTCTTCTTCATTAATATACTTCACAAGCTCGCAAGTTTTCGTGGATATCTTTTTTATGTATTATTTATAATATTCCTAATTTTGATGTTGAAAATCGGTTATAAATGCTTTTGACTACGTTCTCATTGTAACAGATTTGATTATATATGATTCTAGTGTTCATGTTTTTTTAGTTTTAGAAGCTACATATTTGTGACTGCATAACAGTGCTGTGTGGCAATCTTATTCATTCTAAACCAAGCTTCCCATCAAATTGCATTCGTTAACGAATGATACACGATAATAACCTAATATTGTTTGTAGAATGTTTTGCATAACGATGACATGAAGCTTGATTGGTTGTTTAAAACATCTTTTCTGACTGACCTAGTTTCGGTGAGTTTTATTGTTGAAGTCTTCTGTTCAAACCTAAGTGTCTATTCAATCGTAATCACTATTAGGGAAATATATTTAGGTGCGTATCAAAGCATCAATCATTTGAAGCGATTTTAAAGTGATGCGCTGCCAGGCATGTGGTCTATAAGGTAAATTTCATACAACGGGAATATCCGGTTAATTTTATCTTACTCTCATTAATATATAATTATACAGTTAGAGTGTTTTCTATGTAAAATATTTAGGGAATGGAGTACTTACATCAAGTCGACAATTGGTTCCCATGGCCGTTTGAAATCATCTAACTGTGTGATTGACAGTCACTGGATTTTGAAAGTCACCGACTATGGTTTAAATCGATTTAAAAACGAAACTCAGGATAATGGCGATTATGCTTATTTTACAGGTGAGCTATTTTAACAAATATTTCGCAATATGTTTGTATTTTAATTAACATTAGTTCAAACAATTATGTAAATATCGATATACGGGAACACAAATTGTTACACTGTTGTCTGAACATTCCCATAGAGTGATTGTTTCAATATCGAGTTATGATTTGGGCGTGGTTTTGCAAAAATGAGCATAGTTTCTAAAATATGGGTGTGGTTATATTTGTAATGCAATGGTCTTAACCCAAACAGTTCAGCGTATCCTATACTTTTCTGTTGGGCGCATTTACAAATTCTAATAACGTTCGTTTTGAACTCACCAAGAATTACATCTTATTGACGACAAACAAACGAAAAAAAAAAAAACGAAAAAAAAAACAATAGTCATATCGATAAATGTTTTGGCGTTAAAATAATTTCTAACATTCCTTGGGTCAGATCACCCGTGCAACCAGATCCGTTGAACTGCGGGAGTAAAATAATTATTTCACGCGTGAGTTGAGCGGGATTCAGGATAGCATCACACAAAATAATGTGAAGCACCATTAACATATTACGTTGAGAAGTAGTACTAATGCGTCACTTTATTTGACTCACGTGGGAGTAAATTTGAAGTTTGTTTTAACTTTGAATATTATTACATAGTAGGCAATGCCCGGCGGGCAAGCACAGCCGAGCAGTTCATTGACCCAATAGAAGTATAACTAACGTAACCATAGAACGTTGAATGCGTGAACTGCGGAAATCGGGGTATTAATTCACGTGTTGAGCGGGATTCAAGATGGCGCCAAGCACGATTCGTTTTTCGTCGCTGATCAAAATGACTCTAAACACTATCTAAAATCCGTTGTCAGAAGATGTTTTATCATGAATGAGTCGTTTCGCTTCACATAATTTCTTTAATAAAAACAAAATGGCGGCGCCCATTGACCAGAATTGCTCTCTTTCAAACTCTTGGTGTATATTGATTTCCATACTCTTTATATACACATGTTATCTATAGATATCACTTTTATTGTATTAAAATTGCAGGCCAGCTGTGGACTGCACCAGAAATCTTACGTATCAGTCAACGTCCACTTAACGGCACGCAGAAAGGCGACGTATACAGCTTTGCTATAATTATCAGAGAAACATTGACCAGAAGTGGACCTTTCGATACGGAAAATCATAATCACAAAGGTAAAACTACATTTGATAAAGATATATTGTGACAATGAGGGTGCAACGGATCCAGTACATGATATACGATAATCAAAATAAATCTAATTAGCCAATAATTTGTTTATTACTGATTTGTTTCGCGGTGCTAAACAATGACAGAGCTTTGTAATTACTCCTTAAAACCCAGTCCCGTCCAAGGCAATCCTCTTTATACAGTTTTCTCAATGGTTTTACGAAGAACAGTAATTTGTTGCATATTCAACAATATACTGAGTAGTAAGAAATTTTCTGTTCAATTGTCCCAAGGTCAACACCATGGCGTGAACGATGTTCAAATCGACATATATGTCTCTTCGTACATGCAAATACTGTTTTTCGGGATTTGTTAGCGACTAGGCGGTCAAACAGAGTTTTATATTCGCACGATATTGAGGGCGCATCTAACTAAAAAGGTGTATTGAGAACAAAACTGTATATTTTGGCTCATAACGTCAATACAAATGTGTGGCATGGTTTCTGTTATTTCATTTTTAGACATTGTGGAATTAGTTCGTAAAGGTAGTAGAAACCCCTTCCGACCTGATATAACTGTACCTGGCGAAAATACACAAGATCAATTGAGTATGATATCTTTGATGCAAAAATGCTGGGACGAGGATGAATATATGAGACCATCGTTTCGGAAAATTAAGACGACACTGCAAAGCATTGCACGTGGGAAGCAAGTATTATTTTATTTAAATAAAGTTATATTGGTGATAAACGTCTCCGGAATGTTTTAACTTCATTGTGTAAAACAACCTACGTGAAGACGTTAAATATAAATAAAATAAGCATAACAATGATGATGCAATCAAGTGATTTGTGCCGACGACGTAGTGGTTCGATCCTTCTTAAACTACGGTTCTTGGTTTCTTACCCTCCGGAGTTACCAAATTTCAGCTTGGCGATTTGTGAGAATACTCATTTGATTTAAATCATGAATGCTGGTTATTTAACGTATTCTATATGTAAATTTTATTTTTTATATTATTATACTAGGAATACCGATATTATGGACAACATACTAAACATGATGGAGAAATATGCCAACAATCTTGAGGATATTGTTGAGGAAAGAACACAGATGCTGATAGACGAAAAGAAGAAAACTGACAAATTGTTGTACAGTATGCTCCCAAGGTATACACACAAATTCGTCTAATATACCTCAATGTTAGTCCTGTTGACATTCAATAACAACTTATTTCTATTGAAAAAACGCATTTTGAAATTCCACTTAATAATGAATTTAACCAACTCCCCTACCAGCTCCGCTGACAGAACATACCAAGATTTGCGACGTTCAGGTCTAGTTGTTCATAAGGTAAAACAACAGAAAATTTATACAATATTACCTCAAACAGGAGCGTGGCAGATCAACTTAAACTCGGCAGAAAAGTAGATGCAGAATTATATGACCAGGTCACAATATTCTTCTCCGACATCGTTGGATTCACCCAGCTTAGTGCTGAAAGCACGCCTCTTCAGGTGAGATATGCAGTAGAAGGCAACAGAACAAAATTGCGCGTATGAGCGACAACATTTTTATTTAACCGGTATTTCATCTCAAGTGTCATGGCGTATCAAGCAACAAGAGGCCGGTAACTAGTAATGGTTCCTGCATTCTTTTATGGTCAATCACGTGACATCAGCACTTACGCTCGCGGTCGTTCTATATATGTATATATATTAGGGTTTTCCTTTTACTCTCAAAAGTTGCGTGAATATAATAAAACTATTTATTTTGTTACACAAATATCGAGAAATATCAGGAACATAGGAAGTCTAAACTTTTTCGCGGGAAAACAAGAATTGGAATGTTTTCAAATTACGTCCCTTAGTTACCAAATTATGCACCACATCATTGTTTATTTTTTGAATTGTTGCCTTTTTGGCAATACAATTGTTGACAGATATAAATTAAGGTTATTGCGATGATGCCGCAAATTAAGCTCGAAGGCATACTGCAAGAGTATGACAGACGCGTAGCGAATGTTCACGTGATCTTCTAAGTACATACCAGTACTTTGCAGTATCCTTGTTATGCATCTTTCTGATTC